CCGGGGGGGCCTGACCAGGCGGGAGGAGGAGGAGGAGGAAGAGGAGGAAGAGGAAGAGGAGGAGGAGGAGGAGGAGGAGGAGGTGGAGGAGGAGGAGGAGGAGGAGGAGGAGGAGGGGGAGGAGGGCGTCCCCGCAGGGCGGGCCCCGCGATCCCAGGGCACGAGGGCGGAAGGCAGGGCGACGGGCGGGGTCGCGAGGGTGCCATCGTTTGCGCCCTCGGGCTCTCGGGGGGTGCAGACCTCACCTCTGCAGCCACCCTCCTCTCGGCGGGCGACTCCTGCCTCTCCTTCCTCTCGGCGGGCGACTCCTTCCTCTCCTGCCCCTCCCTTTCTGCCTCCTGCCTCTCGGCGGGCGACTCCTTCTTCTCGGCGGACGAGGGGCGATGGAAAAGAACGCCCTCCGCCGTCGGGGGCGCCTGTCCCAAGGCGGCTGCAACATCCACCCCCCACGTGTCGCCGCGGGAGCAGGCGACCCCAACGGCGGGAAGACGTTCGGCTGTACCGTTCTTCGGTTCGCTGATCCTCCACACATCATGTCACCCAGTCCGGAGCAGCCACGGCGGAATACGTTCCATTGTTCGCTTGTACCGTTCTTCGTTCGCTGATCCTCTACAGACCATGTCACCCAGTCCGGGGCAGATTGCTGGTGCGAGACGTGTTGGGATTGATGCCCGCGCTTTCAGTCCACCAGCAGGGGCAAGCGGGGTGGACGGTTGTCGCCACGAAGTCTGTCCTCCAGACCTCCCTCCCCTCCTACAGCTTCCCCTCCCCGTGGAACCACGCCAAGCTCCTTGCGATGGCTGTGCGCTCGATCGTAGAGTCCCTGGCGAAGACCATGACGCCTCACTGCAAGCAGGCCCTGGCGTCCGTCTCCTTGGTCCCCACTTCAACTTGGAGCGCGTGCGGACAGTCGGTCTGCACCTGGAGCGGCCCTGGCCCCGAACCCGGAGGCCCTGGAGAGCTCGAGGGGCCATGTGCCATCAGTCGTGGTCAGATGAGGTCCCACGTGCCAGTGTTCATGGGGCCTACGCAGGACGGCTGGCAAGACACCTGCCGGTCTCTTGCCAAAAGGCGCTGTCCAGAGGGTCGCGCGACGGGCCTCTGCTCACAGACCGCAGATTACTTTCTCCACCCGTCTACTCCTCCTCCTCCTCCTCCTCCTCCTCCTCCTCCTCCTCCTCCTCCTCCCCCTCCTCCTCATCCTCCTCCTCCTCTTCCCTCGCCTCGCGCAAGCATTTTGGCTAACGTCGTCTAACTGAAGACTTCAGACGGTGGGTTCAGGCCATGTTGGGCAATGCGCAGCAATTCATCGGCCGACATGCGTTTCTGCCCCCTGCTCGCATCGAAACAACGTGGCGTTGAAAGGTGCGCTCACCTATACAGTTACTGCAAGACCTTCAGTTGCCACCGCGTTGCACTGGCTGGATGCCACGCTCCCAGCGCCAAGCTGCACCGATGCGCCGATCCATGGCTGGAAGACGTGCGAACGCATTACACAAGAGTGGTCGTTCACGACACCGGTTGGGAATAGACGGAGTGAAGACCTAAGCGAATGTCCTTTCGGTTCTCTTTCTCAAGTGATCCATAGTTGCCGCGACACGGTGACGCAGGCCTAGGCATTGCTGGGACAGACCAGGCCAGAAACGTAACGAATAATTGCGGGGCCGTGCATCGAGTGCAGACCAAGATGCACGCTGGTCAGTGAGGTGTGCGAATTGACCTCGGCGAATGCCACAGCCGCATTCGAGAAGGGGGGCGTTTGAGGACAACGACGGCGACGATAATCCATCGCAGGTCTTGCGCACCACGCCGACGACGACGACGACGGCAGCCACGACGGCAACCTTGCCTAGGTCGTGCTCGCCACGCCGACCACGAGGACGACGACGGCGGTGGCAGTGGCAGCGCCCAGCCGAGGTCGTGCCTGGCACGCCGTGCCGTTTCTCGCCGACCTCGCTCGTGGGGCAGCCGCCCCTGGAGACCGACCGTGGGGCGGCCTTCTTCGCAGGCGCTAGCCAGCCTTTGCCGCCGCCGGTCGCCGTCGTCGACGTCGGGGTCACCGCGGGCTGGGCCAGGTAAGAGGGAGGGGGAGGGAGGAAGGAGGGAGGGGGCGAGAGAGGGAGCGAGGGAGGGAGAGGCTCTGCAGCCAGACACTGGCATGCCGCCCAGCGAGGCAAGTATCGGCGGCGAGCGAGCGGGGGGGAGTGATAAGGAGGAGGCCTTCCCAAACGTCGGCGGGGCTCCTCAGAAGGCCTCATGCCTTCAAAGAGGTGTTCCGTGTCCTCGGGGAAGGCCGAAAACATTTCTCAGAAGGCCCCGGGCCTTCCAAGCCTTCTGAGAAGGCCCGCCCCGAAAGCAGGAAGCGTGCCAGGCTCTCCCACCAGGCTCGCCGCCGAAAGCAGGAAGAGCGCCAACCTCTCCTTCGCCGGGAGGCGCACCGCAGTGAGCTCCTCCTCCTCCGAGGAGGAGGAGCAGCAGCAGCAGCAGCAGCAGCAGCAGGCGGAGCAGGGGCACCCCGCCCACCACAGTCCAGAGCGGGCAGCCCCGGAGAGCAGGCGGGGCATTCGGGCGGGTGGCAGTGGGGGGGGACCTGAGCGGGAAGGTCGGCCACCTCTTCCTCCTCCTCCTCCTCCTCCTCCTCCTCTCCTCCTCCTCCTCCTCCTCCTCCTCCTCCTCCTCCTCCTCCCCCTCCTCCTCCCCCTCCTCCTCCCCCTCCTCCTCCTCCTCCTCCTCCTCGAAGGAGCTGCCACCTCTTCCGCGGCGGACAGGTCGGCGGAGGGCGGCGGAAGCCGAACGGCGGCAGCTGGGCCGGCGGTAGGCCAGCAGAGGGCCAGCGGAAGCCAAACGCGCCCGCTCGAGAGACGGAGGCGTTTCTGGGCTCAGGGTTTCCGAAGTCGGCCCAATGGGGGGCGGAGGAAGGGGCCCAGGCGGAGCCCTGAAGGGCCACTGCAGGGCCCTCTTTTTTCCTTCACCCCCCTTTTTGGGTCACAACCCCCCCCCAATGTTCAGTCGGACCTGTCCCGCCACAGGAGGAGTCTTCAAACGTAGTCAAAAAAATAGTCTGGGGACAGTTGTTTTAAGCTATGTTTGATTGTGTTGGCTGCATTGTTGGGGTTTGTTTTACTGTTCCTCCAAAATCCCCTTGTAGGGGGACAGGCCCGGCCTAATCTGAATGCCACCCGCCCGAAACAGCAGACGACGCCCAAGCACGAGCGCGCGCGCGCCCCCAGAGCAGTGCAGCTCGGCGCGGGCGAGGCCCGACGCCACGCCCTCGAGCTCGAGCTCCTCCCGCGAGGCGGAGGCGGGCGGGCGCGGGGGGGGGGGCCTCCGCGCGGCGCGCGGGGTGGGCGAGGAGGGGCACCGTGCCAGGTTGGGTGTCCGTGGAGGTGCCAGTGCTGCAGGCCTCCCAAAGCTCGAGGAAGAGAAAACTCAGCCACGCGCAGGGGGGGGGGGAGGGGGGAGGGCGTCTTAGAAGCACCCATGCTTCTTAGAAGGCGCGGGCCTTATCTATCTATATATATATGTAGTTATGTATCTATATATATATAGATATATATATATATATATATATATGTATGTAAGGCCGGCGCCTTCTAAGGAGCAGCCTCCTTCTGAGAAGGTCTCCCCCATCTCTCCACCTCCTCGTGCGCGCCGCCAAAAAACGCCATAGACCTTCAACTTTTGGCGCTCCGCGCGGATTTCTTGGATCTGTACTGGACCCCCCTCCCTGGCGCGCGGAGCGCGCCTGGGGCGGCGCTGGGGGGGCCCAGCGCGGATCCAAGAAATCCGGGCGGAGCGCCACAAGTTTATGTTTATGGCGTTTTCTCTTCTTCTTATTTTTCTTCTTCTTCTTCTAAAGTTGGGTTCGACGGGACCGGGTCGGAGGATCGCGCCGCATCGTTGTTGCATCGTTGATGCGGTTCGATGTGGAGCCCGATGTTCTTCGCGCCGATGTCGCCGACGCATCACCGACGCCGATGCTTCTGCGATGCAGCGGCGATGCCGCGCGATCCTCCGACCACATCTGCTCGGACCCAAATCCCGGCGGCCTCTAAATATCTGGGGTCGTAGGTGTTCGTAGGCCGTCGTTGGCACGGGGCGGGGGGCTCACCTCGGGACGCCTACCCACAGCTGCGTGCCGCCCAGGGCGATCCGGGGAATGGGGAGGGAGTGCGCGGTCGGCGATGCATCTGCGATGCAGCGCTATCCTCCGACCCCATCTGCTCTGACCAGATTGGGGCGGCCTCTGAATATGGTCGTAGGTGATCGTAAGTATTCGCTGGCAATGGTCGAGTAGGAAAGCGACGACTACAGAATTGATTTACCCCAGCATTGAACTGTCCCTCGGATGTGCGAAACAATACGTCGACATGTCGTTGTAGAACATTTTCCATTCGGTTTGTAGATTCTACGACATGTTCGATTTCGGGGCACATCAATTCTGCAGTCGGTCTCCTACTCGAAGGGGGGGGCTCACCTCGGGACGCCTACCCGCAGCTGCGTGCCGCCCCCAGAGCGGTCCGGGGATGGTGGGGAGGGCGCGGCGCGCGGCTGCAGAGGGGGAGGGGTGGGAACGAGGGGCCTTTTCGGCTTTCGTGCGTCTCCTGCAGCGGTTGGCGGCTGCCAGGGATCGAGGCTCAAGGATCGGTATTATCAGCCAGACATGCTCTGCAGAGCCTGCTTTGAATGGAGTGCCGAAGGGCACCTTCGCAGGCGCACGCGTCTTGTTTCACCCTGCTCGCGCGCCGTCTGGCGCAAGGCTTCTGACCTTGGGGGCCTGCTCTGGACCTCCTCGTGGCCGCGGCTGGATCCGCTTCGGCAGGCTGGACCGAGAGCGCACCTCAGGGGAGGGCAGCCAGGCGCCCTCGTGGCGGAGCCCGGTGTCCGCTGGCGTTCGTAAGTTTTGGCGGGGGGGGGGAGGATTCTCGCCTCGGGACGCGTGCCAGCGGGTGCGCCTCGCCGAGGGCGTTCCAGGAAAGGCCGGGGGGGGGGGGCTCTCGCCACGCCCAGGGGCGCCAGCGGCTCTCGCCTCCGCCAGAGGGCGCGCCCAGCAGCTGCGCCTCGCCGAGGGAGAGTGCCAGCAGCGCCTGCGCCTAACCCGCACCGCCCCTCGCCGCCCCGCCGCGTGCACGGCACTCGCGCCCCGCCCGCGGCCCAGCCGTGGGCGTCCCTTGCAGGGGGGAGCCCTCGCCACGCGCCTCCGGCGCCGCACCACACAACGCCGCGCGGGGCGGGGGGGGGGCCGCTGCTCGGGCTCGCCGCGGCCGCCGTGCAGGGGAGGCGGCCCCCTCGGCATGCGGAGCGGGCCTGCCTTTGTGGGGGGGACGGGGTCGGGCCGTCCGAGGGGCGCGCGCGGTGTGGCAGAGGTCAGGACCTCGGGTCGGGTGTTTGGGCACGCTCCTCCTCCTGCCTGTGCTTCTCCCCCCGCCCGCCCCGCCCCATGCTCCTCCGACCTCCCCCCCTCTGGGGAGCGGGAGCAGGAGGAGGAGGGGCAGGAGGAGGGGGGGGGCCAGGGGAGGAGGAGGAGGAGGAGGAGGAGGAGGAGGAGGAGGGGGACGAGGAGGGGAGGGGGAAGAGGAGGATGGGTTCGACGGGGTTGACCTCCAGGGGACTGGCTCTTGTCAGTCGCACCGTTCATTCTGTCGGGGGGGAATGGGGACTGGGGGCGGAGAGCGCGCAGACGCTCAACGTCTCGAACAAAAACAAGACGGATTCTGTTCGCCGTTTCCAGTTCCTGGAGTTTCTTATCGGGCCCCTGGGACCGTCACGCATCTTTTCAGGACGAAGCGCCGACCCTGGGGAACAGGACGAGACCTCCGAACGTCCACACTGCGAAAACAAAGTACGGCGTCTGGGGTCTGGGTGTCTATTCGGCACGAGCGGCACGGGGACGGCAAGAATGGGGATGGAAACCGACCCCCGTAGCTGCCCATTTGTGGCAATATTCGTTGCCAGTGTCGCCGCCAACGGTGTCCATTCGGCACAGGGGTTCTGGTTATGGACAACACTCACTGGCACAGTCGGGCCGCTGAAGAAGGAACCCTTTTCGTTGGCGAGGGGCTCCGTGCTCCTTAATTGTTTGACAGCTTGTCTTAGCTTATCCGAAGGTTTCTTCAGGAAATCGACGTTTACCTTATGGAACAGAGGGTCCTCGTTCCTTGTTTAGGGTTCCCTATGGCGGCTTTTCGATTATATGAACCGTAGACGCGGTATTCTGCACTGTCCTACAGTTTGTTCTGCGTGAGCTCGGTGTCACAAACAAACAATCCCAACCGCAGCGTCAACCACAAGCACGCCGTTGGCGCGGCCTTGGAAGGCTCGGCAGACATCGCGTCCGTGCCTGGCCGTCCCCACTGCGGAGGTGCGAGCGGTTGCCGCCCTCGTCGGCCCTGCCAGGGCCCGCGATGCGGGCCCCTGCAGGGCCGCCAAGAGAACAGCGGCCCGGGACGACGCACGGTCATTGATGATGATGATGATGATGATGATGATGATGATGGTGATGGTGATGATGATGATGCTGATGATGTTGATGATGATGATCATGATCATGATGAAATTGATGAATTGACGAATGCTTAATGGTTAATGATGAATGCCTGATGATGGGCATGAGCATCATCATCACCCCTCGTCATCATCATCATTATCATCATCATCATCATCATCATCATCATCATCATCATCATCATCATCATCATCATCATCATCATCATCATCATCATCATCGACGGGGACGTGGTCGAGGCCTCGGGGGTTCGCGCACTACCCCGATGGGGACTTGGTCGAGGCCTCGAGGCCTCGAGGCGCGGAGGAGAAGGAGGAGGAGGAGGAGGAGGAGTGGGAGGAGCACGGCGTTGACGACGAGGGTTTCGAGCATCTGTTGACACGGTCCGTGTCTTGACGGCCTGGAGTCCAGGGAGGAAAAACAGCATGGCTTGGACAACTGGCGTTTATTGAACGGCCTTGGGCGTTTACTATCAGCCCTGCCCTGTTCGGTTCCTTCAGTGGGGGCGTTTAGTAAACGGCCTCGCTTGTCGGGATGGTTATTATGGGAGTGGATTTGTCTGCCCTCTATGGAGGAGGAGGACGAGGAGAAGAGGAGGAAGAGGAGGGGGGAGGAGGGAGGAGGGAGCGGGGGAGGAGGGGAGGAGGAGAAGGATGGGGGAAGGGAGGAGGAGGAGGAGGAGGAGGCGCCTCGGGCGCCGCCCCTGGCTCGCTCCGCGCGCCAGGGAGGGGGGGTCCGGCGCGGATCCAAGAAATCCGTGCGGAGCGCCAAAATGTATTGTTTATGTGGCTTGTTTTCTTCTAACACAACCTTCCTGCAAACGCTGCCTCCCATGTGCGTGCAGCGGTCAGGGAAAACGGCGCCACCCACCGGCGCGCGCGACGGAGCGAAGGCCACCCGGAGGCCATGCCGGGCCACCCGCGGCTGGAAGAAGGGCAGCCAGATCGGCCACGGCTCTTACGGCAGCGTGCACCTGGCCCGGGACATGCAGGAGAGGAGGGGCGATGACCCCAGCACGAGGGATCGACGTGCGAGTTGTATTCCCAATCCTGTTGTGGTGTCGGGTCCTCGTTTTGAAGACGCCCGAAGTCACACCTCACCTTCTTCCCTTTCCTCCTCCCCCTCCTCCCTCCGCATGCACACTCCGGCACACACCACTTACATGCTTCGTGGCCCCATGGGGATCTCCGACGAAGGCCCCAGTGGCAGCGTCCGCATGGCGCCACCGCACCACCTTCAGCACACCCCATCAAACATGTCGTGGCCCCCTGAGAAGCTCCGCCGAAGGCCCCCGTGGCTGCGCCCGCATGGCGGGACCGCACCTATTCCGGCACACCCCTCGCATGCTTCGTGGCTCCATGGGGGGCTACGCCGAACGCCGCAGCGGCAGGGTCTCCATGGCGGCGCCGCGCCGTTTCTACACACCCCTTCACACGCTTCGTGGCACCATTGGGAGCTCCACCGATGGCCCCGGCGGCTATGTTTGCATGACACGCCCCGCCCCATGTCGGCGCACCCCTCACACATCTCGTGGCCCCATGGCATAGGGAGCTCTCCCTTTTTCGTCTTGCGTGCCTTGCGACATCCAGGCCTACATTTGGTCGGGTCTTTCGCCAGCATAATTGGTCGCTTGTCGCCCTTCCTGCGCCTACACGGCTGGATTCGGTTCGCATGTCTAGCAAGAACGAACCCCAAGAGAGGTCCGGGGGCCGATTCTTCGGGGCCGCCGTGGAGGAAAAGGGCCTTGGACGAAAAGGTGCCCAGGAACCGTTTTCCCGCCCTCGAGCCCCCATCGGTTCTCCCAGGGATCGAGAGGGGCCGTCAAGAAAGGACTTAGGATGAGAAGCTGGCCAGGGCGTCCTGCCCTCGAGAGCGCCCCGTGGCCCAGGACGCGTTTCCTCTCACGGCTAGTTTCCATCATGGCAGGACCACCGCGACGTTGCGGAGAGGCCTGGGCCGGCCGAAGGGGGGGGGGGTCGGGCCAGCAGGAAAGCGAGGGGCAGCAGCAGCAGGAGGAGGTGGAGGAGGAGGCAGAGGCGGGGGGGAGAGGGGCAAGCTTCAGGGGGAGGGAGATGGGCAGGAGGAGGAGGAGGAGGAGGAGGAGGTGGAAAAGTGAGGAGGAGCAGGAGCAGGAACAGGGGCAGGAGCAAGAACAGGAGCAGGGGGAGGGGGGGGAAGAGGGGGACGAGAGCACGCTGGGCTACGGAACGGGGCTGGGCCACCCGAGCACGCTGGCCACGAGAACATGTTGGACCACGAGAAGGCGCTGGGCTACCAAAGCGCGCTGTGCTGCGAGAGCGCGCGGGTCTTCGAGAACACGCTGGGCCACTACAGCGCGCTGGGCCCTCGAGAAGGCGCTGGGATACCAGAACACGCTGCACCACCAGGACACGCTAGGCCACGAGAAGGCGCTGAGCCACCAGAAGGACGCTGGACTGCCAGAACACGCTGGGCCACGAGAAGGCGTTGGGCTACGAGACGAAGCTGCACTTCCAGAGCTCGCCGGGCCACGAAAACATGCTGGACCGCGCGAAGGCGGTGGGCTGCCATAAGACGTGGGGCTACCAAACAGCGCTGGGCTTTTAGAACACGCTGGGCCACCATGCGCTGGGCCGCGAGAAAGGGCTGGGCCACCAGGACATGCTGCGCCACCAATACACGCAAGGCCACAAGACGGCGCTGGATTACGAGAACACGTTGGGCCACCAGAGTACGCTGGGTCACCAGAGTATGCGGGGGCCCCAAAATAAGCTGAGCCACGAGAGCACGCCAGGCCACGAGAATGCGCTACAGAGCACGCTGGGCTACGAGAGCGCTTTGCGCAACCAGAACACGCTGGGTTACGAGATGGAGCTGCGCCACCAGGGCACTCTGGGCCACGAGAACATTTTGGACCACGTGAAGGCGCTTGGCTACCAGAACGCACTGGGCTACGAGAGAGCGCTGGATTTCGAGAAGACGCTGCGCCACGAGGACACGTTTGGCCCGATAAGACGAATCCAGCCGTGGATGTGGACCTGGAGCGGGCAGTCCGCATTTGGATCGACAAAATACGCGCCGACCTGCAGAAGAAAGCACTCGGTGTTTGGCAGCAGCAGCAGCAGCAGCTGCTGCTGCGGCAGTTGGGCATCGTACGTGGCGTCACGTTCGCCAGGGCCTGGGAGGCCCTCAGCGAGCTTTGGATGACACGTTGGAGATCGAGGACGAAGAAGAATGCAGGCGGAATAGTGCCCCAAAACAGGTCAGCACACACAGAAAGCCCGGCAAGGAGTACATCGACTGCGTCGCGCTGGGTTTGAGCGAGCAGGCCTTAAAGTACTCTGGACAGATGGCTCCGCGAATGACATCCCCCGGCCCGCTACTACATACGCAGGAAAACCAAAAGCTGATATCCAAGAACCACCAGAGAAACTACAACGGCGAGACGCGCATGCCTGAAGCTGGAGAAGACTTCGAGTTGCCCATGCGAGCTGGCCCGAGGTTTCGTTCCTCCTC